GCCTGCATTTAGAGTTTCACTTCCAAGGCTGTGATCAGTATATGCGCAGATTTGAATCCCCCTTCCATGTGCATTTAATAATTAACAGAACAGTGATGTGTGTTGGATTGGACATGCACCCCTGGCTGCCACATTGTGAAGACAAAGGATGTAAACATGAATTGGAGTTAATTGTCTGAGAGGGAGTCAGTGAGAAAAAGGGCATAAGGGTATAGGGGTCCTTATATTTTTTAATGACTATAGCAGCCACCAGAACAGTAAATGATGAAAAGAAGCTGCAATCAGTCTTACTCTCATAGTTCTGATAAATGTTCTTTGGTTGATCTTAGGGTGAAAAAAAATGCATGCAATACATCTAGCTGCTGGGTGACATTGTCCCTTTAAACTTCTGTTACTCTCTGTAATTTTGAATTTTTAGCTCTCTCAATTCACTACCCTTTCCCTCACCTCTCTTTTTCATATAGACTCATTTCATATGCACATTTTATGAGATAGGTCTAGACTGAAGAAAAAAATCACCAGTGAAAAGAAGGTAACCTATAACGTTAGAGTCTCCACAATGCTTATGTTTTGCCAAACTGGGCATCATTGCCATTAGTATTGAGTGTAAGGATCCTGCTGGTTCTGTTGCAGTTGTCCTATTGACTTTCTCTGGATGAATAAGTTGCTGTCAAGAGTGCCACTAAATATCCACTTTAGAAAAGCACTTTTACCCATAAAGAGCATATTTTCCCTTCCTTGTCAGTCACAGCCAAGCACTGAAAAGCAAAATAAAAAAGGCAATCTGTGGAGACATATATAATTATAAGTAAATACTTTGTAGGTGTTAATTACTAATGTTCTTTTACCTGTGCTTGGTATAGTGATTCAAAAACACTTCTAAATAAAATTATGTGGGTAGTGTTATACCAACTTACTATTACTTTTCAAGAGTAGCTGCAAAAAATAAGCCAAATACTTTTCTTACATTATATTTCACATATGTAAATACCAGTAAAATGAGTTCTAAATGCTGGTAAAGATTTCCTTGTTACAAAGAAGCTAAGACATTAACCCAGAAACAAAATCATTTCATCCTGTTTGTACTTACTCTCGGTCAGGGTGGGAAAGGTCCCTGCATGCAAAGTATCTGTAAAAATTCAGATTGAGTATTCAAAACTTTAATTAATTACCTGAAAATGATTGTCTGTAGATGAACTACCTCATCAGTATTCAACATCAATGCCAGAAGATGAAGGTGAAGGGGAAAAAAATCCTGCAAACACAAGACAGCAGAGGAGTTAGAAAAAAAGTAAAGGTTGTCTTTTTAGTGGACCTGTGTAAGCATCTGAGCATATACTCATCAGAGTCTTAAGCCTTAATTCTGTAGTTGCCAGATAATAACCACCAGATTCCTTAAACTGGTAGTATTCAAAGCTATTTAGCTTCTTCAATCTGGGGGTACATCTTCAACTGAAATTAATGGAAATTGTCTATCCAGAGCAGATATGGAATAAAATAGCCTTAAACAAGACTGCATTTGTACTAAGAACTCCTTACTTACAGGAAATTCCTTCTGAAAATTTGAGCATTTTTGTTTGGACACACAAATCATAATATAACATTTTTTTTTCCCCTGTGCAGCTGAGCATGACTTCAGAATCAAGTTTCCAATGCTAATGCTGATTAACACAATTAGCAGAGGATTGCTCTATAAATATTCTGCAATTATTGCTTAAAATGTTCCATTTTAGTGAACATTCTTATCAATAAGCTTGTTTGCCACAAAATGTACAGAAAAAAAAATGTGAAGAGAAAGGAGGGCAGAACACAAACCATTCATATGAAATAAGCAAAAGAAATTTTACAGTAATAATATGACAATATTAATTCATCTCTTGAAATGGTATTAAACAATGCATTTCTTTGGCACTTTATGACCCATCCACTAGAAATGCCGGTAGAGGACATCTAACTAGAAAATTATAAACATACAATTTCTGCTTCTGTTGACCTAATGTCTAGGGTCATGATGCTCTCAAGCGACTGGTTCAAGTGATTATAAAACTTTGTAAGTCACTTTCTTTCACATCAAGAAACAGAAGTCTATAGTTTGCCGTGCTCCCAGCCAAGAGATGTGGGTTTTTGCATAAATAGGGAACCATGATTCAAGTCTGGCCTGATACCATATTTTGGGAAGAGGAATTTTTTTTTGTAACCAGTACAGGAATTTCATTTACATTCTGAAACAGGTTGTAATTATGGTGCAAATAATGGCTTTTACAGAACATATGACTATGTGTTTAGATGCTTATACAGAGAAACCACAAGTGTGCAGATATTCAGGCGTCTTCTCCCCAAAGTAAAAATGGCTGCTCCAGGGGAAATTTCCAACAACAAACCATAACCTAGGAACAATCAGGGTTAAGTCACTCCCAAGGAGTTTCTTGTGGGAGAGTGAATGTGTAAACATGCTGTGGCTTCCCTCCAAAGAGTACAGTCTTCCAGCATCCCTCCGCACCCATCCAGTCCCAGGGAGACAGTTTGTTGCTTGCCAAACTCTGCACCCCTTTACAATCCACACATTGTGCTGCAGGACGACAGGCTGATGGGCAGTCTGGGTTAGCCAATCAGGGTTGCCCTATGTATTACCATAACTTATCACCACACAGACTAAAGGAGACCTTCCCCCCCCCCTCCTTCTC